GCCCATGATGTGCCCAATTGAGCCGCAAGGGTCGAGCAAGCTACCTGTGCCCGTCTCGACGGCACCCTGCAGGCGATCAAGCCCAAATTCCAGGCAGGTGATGCTTGTGGCGGGTGATGGCCTTGCAGGAAGTAGAGTTCAAGAGTTTAGACATTTACAGCACCGGAGGACCGAAAGCTCGGCTGTAGCGTTGTCGTCTTATTGCAGCTCGAAGGCCCTGGCGGGCAGCTACCCGCGGCATGTATTCTTGGAGGCCGCGGCCCTGTCTCTGTTTGCAGACCCAACTATCTGTCGGTGTCGGTGCAGGTGTATGTGTGAATGTGCGTGTGTGGTGTGGACATGCAGCGGATGCATAGAGTCATACATCAGTTCAGAGGCAACAAGCAATATGTGAGATAAAGCATGCTCTGGATAGCTAAGCAAGGACGAGTGAGAGAACTGCTCGCAGGTCAATGCTGATGAGCTTGAAGACGTCGTGACCCGCTGCGGAGCCGTGTGCACAGCTGCGTCAGTTTTTGAAGACAACCAGACTCTCAAGACGAATCTGACCACTCATCTGTCTGGCTCGAACCGCCACGCATTCGAGTGTCTCTGGGCTTTAAGGGTTCTCTCGAGGTGATGGGCCTTCCCACCTTCCAAGTCTACATGGCGGGCGAGCAGGCAGGATCCATCACAGGCCCGGATTGCTTTTGTCAGTCGCTGATGTACACTTTGGTCTTGCGACCAGCAGACCGTGGGTGCCCCATGACTCAAGCCCTAAGCTGCGTAGATGAGGGGCCGACGAAGCGAAGCTGACGACGCTCATCAGCCTCTCCGGAAGCACTGGAGACGGTTGCAATGCAGCTGTGGCAGCTGTGGTCGGAGTTCACTCAGCTGTTCTCTATTTCTCTATTTCTCAGTGTCTTTGAGTACCCTTTCAAAGGCGGTGCACTGGGCACACCTTCGACGGACGCCAAGAAAGCACAGTGATGCTGTGCAGTTCGCCCATGGCGGCGGTTTCACACGATCTGAACCAGAGACCCCATCGCATCAGCAGTGCAGCTTGACACAGGCTCAGCTTTGATGCGGAGAAAGGGTCCTGGTACAACAGCCCAAACTAAGCGAGCCAATGCATGAGAGTCCACGCAGCGATTGGATTGAGCGTGCCCGCGTCTTGCTGCTCAGTTCACGAACGGACACAACATGGACAAGTCGTAGCCCGACGGGGTAGATGCAGCCATGGCAAACTTCCACGGCTTCTGGCTGCATGTGTAACATAATGTAACATAAAATCAACGAACGTCCTAGGTGCTTGCTAAGTGCTTGCTACGTCTACGTCTGAGGCCCATCGCCCACCAGCCCAGTCTGTGTTGTAGGGTACAACAGGTTCAGTTTGAAAAAGCTCTAGCAAAGCTCGAGGCACTACAGTGACGACTATGGTCAACCAATCAATGAAGTGTAGGTCAACACAATTCACAGCAAAGTCTGGAGAGATCAACGACACGTAGTTCGGCGGGGCCGATGTGACAGCTCCAGCCATGGCTCAGGCTGGGACTGGCCCCAAGAGATTTTCAGAAGGGCTGGGCTCGTTGTCCGTAGCTCTGAGGCTTCAGAGACCTGCCACTGCAGGCGAAGGAGAAGAAGGACATGAACGCTCACCCGTTCTTATTCGAGGACTCTTTCCAGGCCAGCTGCGAAGTGCTGAGTTTGCCGGCTCCTGCTTCATTCACGATGGCTCAGGTGAAGAGCAAGCGCCTGAGTAGCTGGATGAAGAGTGTCTTTCAAGAGGGTGCTGTAGGCTTACGACGCACTTAGCAGGGAAGTCTGCGAAGATGTTGGCTTGCGCCAAGATGTGGACGACTCGCGATTCGAGCGAGCGGGACGGATGGACTGTGAGTCCGTCGCCTTCACCACCAACAATCTCGAAATAGTCCGGCCCTTGGGGTGGCTCTGCTTGTTGCTTTGTGGCGAATTATGCTCACAGAGCAGATGTGTCGCGCACACGCCTCTGCTGGCAGCTCAGGACATCAACCACATTATCTACCCAGTGCAGGGTGGCGACCAAATCTACGTTGCGATAACCCGCAACGTGAGCCCTGCGGATGATCCCAGAAAGCTGAAGCGGACCCTGCAAGCTTAGGGTGGAGAGCGGTGCGAATTTTCGCTTTGCTTTTGAAGGGTCTGCTATGGCGCTGAGGAAGCTGATCATGTTGAGCATGTTGAGATGTGTTGGATGAGTCCGCCCTACCCAGAGAGTGCAGAGCCTCACTGCACTCTTCACACCGTTGGCCGGGTGTGGGGCGCGAGATGTGGGCAACGAATCTGAGCATGCTTGGGGCCAACCCAGAGGCCTCAGAGAGTGGATGACAGTGAGACGATGGGCTAACGTGCTCACTGGGCATGCTTGCCGCAGGTGCCCTCGCCTGCAGAGTGAAGTTCGCACTGCATGACTTGTTCTGCTGCTAATCCTCACTGCGGTCCACCTGTCTGCGGGCGGTCTGCAGCTAACCCCCGATCTTGAGCATGGCCCACTTGCCGCTCAAAGGAAGCCCGGAGCAGTGAAACCGCAAAGTTGCGGAAGATCCCAGATCTAAACTCAATCACAGGATCTCACTGTCTTGCAGGTGCATTGAAGAGCAGCAGGTTTTTTTGCCATGGGCAACATTGCGCGATTAGCCAGGACCGCGGTGGATGGTGTTAGCAGTGGAACTTGAGAGTGCACCCGTGGCCGCGTCTTGCATGGAGGGGAGGCCAAGCCAAGCTGGTGCTGCCTCTGTATCTCGTGGAGTTGTGCATGTTGACCAGTTCCCTTGTAGTTGCAGATGCACAGTTTTATGGTATAAGATTTCTGTTGGCAGCTTTGGGATGTGCAACCTTTGCGCGTGGATGCAAGTGGAAGCCGGCTTCGATTTCCTAGTTACCGATCTGCTTAGTTTCGACACTGCGCAGGGGATAAGATTAAAGCAAACCTTGCCGAGAATGTGTGAAAGCTCATCTGTCGGCCGAGTCAGAAATCTGATTACGCAGTTGATGTGTCTGCAGGGGTTGTTCGTCACTGGAGTTCTGCTGTTTCGCTGCCTGATCCTGTAGGCACGCTGCAACTTATTTTAATCTCTCTGGCCTCTTTCCTGCTGCCCACATGACCATCGCTTTGGAACCGTAGGGTGTTGTTTGTTCTTGGCGTTGCATGAACCTTGCTTCCAGCACAGAGCAGAATCGCTGTCGCCACTCTGCGTGAGCTCTTGGATGCCTCGTGCGTTCAGCTGCAGACTTCAATTGCTCTCGTCTTATGACAGTACTGCGTACGACCACGACCCGCGGCTGCTCGGGCGCTCGGTGATGGATCACTTTGACTACGTCATGTACGGCAAGGCCGACATGTCCGACGGTAGTGCTTGGCCAATGCTTGGTACGTCTTGCTTACAGGTCTACAAGAAGGAAGTCAAAAAGGAAGAGAACCTCGCGGCCCCTTGCCGACCAAATTTCGGGGCGGAGTCATTTCTTTGTTATTTCCGCTCAACTGATGCCAGACGGTGTGGGCATCCTACGGCGGTCTGCTGATGAAGCCCTGCCCTCAATGTCGAATGGGCTGCAAGCTTTCAGTCACGCAGACCCTGAAATCTTCGAAGCCGAACACCATGAACCACTGCTTGGACAAGAGTCCCCCTCAAACAGATATCCACCCGCAAATCCTAACTCCTAAAGCCCCCGCAGCCCTCAAAAGCTTCCTTGAACCCCAATTCACTCCGTCGAATCCGAAACTTCGCTGAGGCTGCGAGCGGAGGCTGCTCAGCTTGCGGTGCGCCCACGCCAGCACACGCAGTGCACACGAGTAGGGTTTAGGGTTTTGGGTTTAGGGTTTTGGGTTTTGGGTTTAGGGTTTAAGATTTAGGGTTTAGGGTTTTGGGTTTAGGGTTTAAGGTTTAGGCTTTAGGGTTTAGGGTTTAGGGTTTAGGGTGCGTTTGAGGGCATCTGTGACGTTAGTATGGAGGTTGCTGCAAACAAGAAGCTGAGACGACGAAACACGTAGTATGAGCCTTGTTGTGCTGCAAGGACTTCCATCTGAACGACAGCATCTACTTTATGATGCGCAAGGTGCAGGCTGATGACATGGACCTTTCGTAGCTTAAAAAGGCCCTCCCAGCAAAGGACTCACAACTCGAAAGCAGCTTACTATGTATATTTCACGAGAGACCGTCCTTTCTGGGATGCTTGCGTCATCCGTTGTGCTTCAGCCCGGCCAAAACACAGCGGGCAAAATTGTGGCAGATCGAGTAGTGAGAAGAAGGCAGATTCGCTCTTCTTCAATGCACTGACGTGGACACCGTGGTGCCTTGCTGTCCCTGGGTGCTGCCCCCGCAGCCGCAGGTTCTGAAGCCGTATGCTGGGAGTCTAACGGGCTTTCACGTAGTGCTGCAGCCACCAACTCAAGATGCCTAAGGTTCAAGCCTCCTCATATCCCTTTATACACCAGAAGCATCCAGAAGCCATATCTTAGTACCTGAAGAGATCATGTATGTAATAGTGGGTAAGGGCCTGGCATCGTCGCATCGTATGCTCAGCAGGACACCAGACACACCCGACACACCAGACACAGCAGCAATCACCACCGATTCGCCTTGCAGTGCCAACTCGAAGCTAGGACGAACGAGCCACAACTAGCCAACTCAGCAACACTTGACCGTTTGTGCTTGATCTCTCAGTGGCAACTCCCGCTTTCGCATGATCCAGTGGGGGGCGGAAGCCAGTGCCGTCAGGACCAGAGACTGCCCAAACGGCTTCCCCAAACTCCGTCCACACTCCCACAAGCATTCGTAGACTGGGGACCTCTCCCCCCCAAACAAGGAAAGCGCAGCCGGTTACAAGTAGCCTTAGGAGAGCACTGTCGCTGCCAGGAGATCTTTGACTGCCGAGGCGTTGGAGGCTCCTGGCCTTTCGAGTGTAGGGCTCTCTCGCGCTTCTTTTGGCCCAGCTCGGTGCAGTCCTGGCTGCAGCTTCGTGGGGGTTTGAGGACGGTCGAGATGATTTGGGATGCCAGCGATGCGAACCCCATGCACCGGCGGCTACCCGCCGAGGCCAGGCCCTGGCCTCCGGCTGCCAGCCGGCCTGCTGCTGGGGTGTTCTGTGCCTTTTTTGGGTCAGGTTGTATCGCGGCGCCGAGCCGAAAAGAAGCCGAAAGCGCCCGAAGCCACCACGGACGAGGCTCGAAAGATGCGTGTTTTTTCTGGGTGACGCGGACCGACGCGACGGCAGATACGGCAGGTTGTCGTCGACCTGAAGACTGCGATCACCTTGAAGCCTGAAGCCAGGACCAAATGGCTCAGCAAGGTTGGCGGCTGAGCGTCTCCGTAATTTGTGGATCTGACGTTTTTGTCGGAGCTGAGGCCTGTGCAATGGTGGAGCAGGGCAAGGCCAAGCCGACGGATCTTTATGACATCGTCACAAACCGTGGCTTTGCAGCACCAAGGGCTCCATTGTGCGTGGTAGCGCTTGATTTCTGGTCTTCACTCCTTTCCCGCTGCAATGATGGCGGTTACATGCGGTTGCGAGGCAAGTTCTCCGGAGGTTTGTCTTGGGCTGAGTATCACGGAGCCTCGAGACGTGGGGGCCAGTGCCAGGGCCTCTGCAAGTGCCCGATTGCGCGAGGCCCGACCGGGTCGGCCGCAAGTTGGCCAGCATCATCCGTGACAGCCGCAATCCTCAGAAAGTGCTTGCTCTTCGAGAACCGAGCGGGTCCTGGTGTCACCTGTCTGCGCCATCAAGGCTTTTCCATCTTCTCCGACAAGCAGCAGTGTGACACCCACGTGTGTGACAGACGTGCGCGGTGCGTTCTCGAAGTACAGGTCGATGGCTGAAGGCTGTGCGCAGCTCTTTATAGAAGTTGCGCCGAGGCGGTACTTGAACTCCACTGAGAGTCCCGTTCCAGTCGGAGCCTCCGGCGTGTGCTGTTGTGAGCGCTCGCCTTTCCCGCTGCTGTGCTCCAAGATGCACCTCGCTGCGCAAGAGGACGAGGAGGCGGCGGAGGAGGAGTGGCGATCGGGGGTCGGTCCGCTTCAATCGTTCACGAGACTGCAAGAGTGCCGGCCGAGTCGTGCCAGCTTGTCATCTCCTGTAAGTTTCTCTCACCGCCACACCTCGTGCGATGACACACTTCTCAGGAGGCACCTCGGCGCCCAAAGCGTGCGCCACGCGAGGAGGCGCCAGCCACAGTCCGGGAACTCAGCACTGCTCCCATGGCGACGACACGACGCCGTTCGACCATGTCCTGAGGCCACCATTCCAGAAATCACGCTGAAAGAATCCGACAACAAGGCAGCATCTCGTCCGACAGTTGTGCAGTTTGAGAAAAGAGACTTTCATGACCTAGTGCAAGGCCAGCAGAAAAGAGAAGCCGCCGCAGAATGCTCAGTTGAAAAGGTGGTTCGGCTCGTTCATGATTCGCATCGCCTAGACCGAAGTAAAAACCCCAAAGAAAGAACGGAAACCCCAAACACAGACGGGAGACTTCATCCGAGGCCTCCTGGCCCGGTCGTCGAGGCCCCGAGGCCTCCGCCAGCCAGCAACCGAGCGCGTCAGCCGTGAGCTTTTGGGTTTAGGGTTCTGGGTTTTGGAGAGTCTGGGGTTTAGGGTTTAGGAGAGTGTGGGGTTTAGGTAGGGTTTAGGGTTTAGGAGAGTGTGGGGTTTAGGATTTCGGCTTTGACGTGGAATAGCGTCCTGCTTAAAGGGCCTTCACAGGGCCTCAGGGCCCCCGGCACCAATCCATCACAGTTGTGGGCTGCTTGGGCTGTGTGAGCAAGAAAGCTCCCCTACTCAACGTGAGCACGCTTGCATACGCACCCTCTAGGCATCCCCAAACCCTCAACCCTAGACTCCAGACCCGAAAGCCCTAAAGCTCTAAACGCAAGCCCCCCCTGCCCCTCCCCCGCCCGAACTCTGCGGCATCGAGGCGGAGAATCGCGAGGACGAGGCCCGACGGCGGAAACTCGAGGAGGAGGCCTGGCTCTGGCCTGGGGAGGTTTCCTGCTGCTTCCTGGCAGTTCTGGGGGCGTCGGTAGGGCTTATAGGGCTCAGGGTTTAGGGCTCAGGTTTTAGGGTCTAGAGGTTTTACAGTTTTTTCGGATTTAGGGTTGGGTCAATTTCCAGTGCACAGTCTGGCAGAAGCGGACAGGCAGACAACATTCTCGGAGCCCTGGTGGCCTGTCGGCATCAGCCCGCCCGAAAGGTTTCTGATGCAGTCACGTTTCAAGGCGAGTTGAGGCGAGATGGAAGCACGAGGCGTCTTATCAGGAGTGTGCGTCCAACCACAGTGGGTCCGAGAGTAGACGAAACGCCTCAAGTAAGGCATTGTTGACTAAGGTCCCCGGCCTGGCCGACGCAGCACCGCCCATTTTCTCCAAGGTGCGAGCCCCTTCGGGTGCGGTCATCGTCTTCGCATAAGCTGAGATGTTGTGAGTCGGTCATGAAGAGAGGGTCGTTTGTGCTGAGGCGGACGCTAATCGCGGACGCTCTGTCCCGCTCTTAGCCTGCTACATCTACTTGGAGGATCATGGGATCTTAGTAAGTATGGTTATGCGTACCTGTTTGGGGTGATAAGTATAGCTACCTCAATAAGAACCGTCATTACTAAGTCCCATGATCCTTTCAGTAGGGATTTAAAGATCGATATCTCTGCTTGAGAGCCACTCGCCGAAGAGCCGCCGGCTCCACGCCGAGGTCTCGGGTGGCCGATCCATAGGCTCGCGGTCCATCTCCTCACGAACAGCCCGAAGGCAGAAATCCTGGCCGAAATACAGAACAGCACTGACATGAGTAGCAGCCGCTGCGATGGGCTACTGTAGTCTTTGTCAGGATTTGTCAGATAAGTTGCATTATGATTGTTGATATCAGTTTGATATTGCTTTCCTTGTACCTGATAGCCTGATCACAGTAGTTGTCGGTAGCCGTCTTCTGTCGTCTGTCACTATTCCTATCAGCAACAGCCCGTTCCTGTCGTGCCAGGCGGGCCCGCGAGCAGAAGACGAGGCACTTGGAAGAGAGAGCATGGCAACTGCCGTCGATGTTTGTATTTCCATACCATTGCTGTTCTTCTTCTTCTTCACTTCACTCGCAACAGCCTGCACTGTGCCAACTCAGACAAAAGCAATCACGGTTAAATTTGTGAAATCCTCAAGACCCTAAAACAGCAGATGTTGGCTTTGCTGATGTGGGCAGGAAAGGCAGGGATCGCGACGGCTCCTGGAGAAGTGGTGGATCGGTCACAACCCCAGCATGGCTGCCGTTCTGGTTGTTCGCCGGTGTTGGTAGTATATGGCAGCAGGCAGGGTTTGGGGTCTTGGCTTGCGTGCAATCTAGTATTCTGCATGTTACTTGTGCATGCGCGATCATGTATGTGCTCTGTCAGGGTCTGTCGGGCTCACGCGCCCTGTTGCTGAACCGCAACTACACCGAGGACCCGCAGTCTATGGTGCATTGTGGTGCCGTCACTTCATAAGCTTGTAATTGTGCATGTCGCAGCAGTGGACTGTTGCGGAGGACCTGCCGCACATGCCGCGGAATGCAGCGACTTCCGCCAATATGACCTATCAGCCTCCTGCCGGCAGTTGACGTCGAGCAATCTGTACTCTGGCGACGGTACCGTTACAGCACTCTTCTTTGCTAAGGATCCCTATTGTGCTACCTTAAATTAACTCCCATCCTTTTGAGGAAAGTGACAGAAAAACATAGGGTTTAGGGTTTAGGATATCCTGAGCCCTAAAGCCTAAACCTTGGTCTGAAGCCAGGCCGGAGCGGGCGGAGCGGGAACGGGAAAGGTCGCGCTCGAGGTCCCGTCGCCGGAGACGCTGAGCGTTGGCCGACGCCGGGGTAGCTTTCGGGTTCCTTTAAGGGTTTAGGGTTCCTTTAACTTCAAGCTTTCGGGTGTCCGGATCGTCATGCCAAGTTCTCTTGGATTCCTGGAGGATTCCAGTGGTCAGAGGGATGGAGTGAAGACATTGTTACGTGGTTGCTGCAAAAAACCCAGACGTATGACGCAGCTAGATAACTAGCACAACGCAGAGATGTTATTCATATCATTCGCAATTGGGTGAATGCGGACTATGCTAGGTGTTTCGGCCCGGTTCAGTGCTTGAGATGGGAGTTTGCATTAGACTTCTGATGCTCAATCGATCTTTGGCAGCTGAAGGCTGCTTTGATGTCCGACACTGCCTGACTCCTTCGAGAAGAGGGCGGAAAAGTTGGGGTTTCATACACATTGAGTTTTTTTTGTTAGTTCCGAGTGCATGGTTGCATCTAGAGCCCATTTCGCCAGCAGGCTTCTTTTTCAAGGGCCAGGATGCTTGAGGAAAGGCATGGGCAATCAGCTGTGAGATTCCTCAAATTGAAGTAGACGTGCAAGTTGGATGTTTCGTGCCAATGTGGGCTTTATCTTCCAGGGGAGAGGTTCGTATATCACCCGGCGTGGCATGGGAAGCGGGTCTTCTTCAAATGCGCGCCGCTGGCTCTGCGATGCCAGTGCAGCGGAGTTGAGCCAGGCTGCACAAGGCAGAGAGGGACGGTGTGGGACGTGTGGGGTCCCCCAGGTCTGCCAATCGCGCACTGCGCCGTGCTGCACCCCCTGTGTGCTAGCTAGCAGGATGCTTTTAACATCCTACTCGTACTCAGTCTCTCACGACTCCTGCGAACAATCCAACGCATCAAATCCGCCGATTACACCGAGACCGCCAGCATCAACTCCAACATGCATACAAATCGCAACGAAGCAGTGTGAGCACTGGCCTCACTGCCCGCCCTCACACACCACCACATCCAAAGTTCGTTGGTCATGTGTTAAGAGCACCATTGAGCAACCTTGAAAGCACCAGTGCATTGAAAGGGGCTTTCGTCTATAGGGTGGTGCGGATAAAACGCAGGGTATTTGACCTGGCCGTCGTGCAGTACGTTGTGCAGAGCTTTGCGCTTCCCCGGCCTTTCTTCCCTTTGCCTATCGGAACGGCTCAGTGAGGAGTAAGTTAGTGGCTGCCAACGTGCAATAAGATCCTTCGCGCCAACTCCGTTCTCGCTTACTCACAGTGAGACCCAGTTCTTGCTTACATAACATAGCGGCACGCAAAGAATCCTAAAGTCTCTAATGATCTTCGTGCAGGCACTTGATCACAAACCCCTGGTCCTTCTTGCGGCTCTTGACATGGATCCTATGCTCCTGCGCGAGAAACCCTGAACCCTCAAGCCTTTGAATCCGTAGCAGCTACGAACCTTAAATCCTACAACCTGAAACCAAAAACATCCCTTAACCCTGAACCCCACAAACCCTAAACTCTAAACTCGAAACAACCCTGCTCCACAGGGTCTCTAGATCCGAGTCTTGCCAGGCCTGGAGGAGGCCGAGCGCCACGCGGCAAGACCTGGATGTTCTGCGATTTCGACTCAGGGTTTCGATTGCGGGATTTAGGCCGCAAGGGCTTGTGGGCTTGTCAACTTGTCCTAAACCCTAAACCGCTTTAGGCTTTGGGTTTTTGGTTCATCCTACCCAACTTGTACCCTGACATACCCTAAACCCCAAACGCTGACAGGGTGCCTCGGGCCCCTCTCTGCGTTATCTGAGGGGAGGCGCTCCGGGCAGCTCTTCAGCTGCTCGAGGCCCCGGGAGTGAAGAAAGCGGAAGAAAAGAGAAGCAAGTCTTTCAGAGGGATGTGTTTGTACACACGTATCCGTTTTCTACATCTATCTACATGTCGTATCTTCGGATATACACATAATTATGTACTGTCTACATACAAGAGTGTGTTTTTTGGTTTATACACATTTATGCCGGTGTATATGTATATTTGTTTGTATGCATATAGTCTTAGGATGCATATAAGCAGGAGTTTGAGAGAGGCAGCGCCTGATCCCGACCTTCTGGGAGATGCCCTCGTGGAGGGGGAGGAGGCAGGTTCCGTCGCCTATGCTGGGTTGCTGTTAAGGAACTTATCTTAATGTATCTTAATGGAGATATATAGTAGATAATAGGGTTTCCCCATTATAGTAACTTAATGTATATAGGTTCTTAACAGCATCGGCAGCATCCCAGTATGTTCTTGTGCCTCCTCAAAACTTGGAGGCGCTTCTGAACAGGTGCTCTACCTCTGGTCCGACCCGCCGAACGGTGTCTCAAAGTATATCGGGCCTGGACCCCCAGCTGTATCGATGTGGATCGTTACTGACCAGCGGTCTTGTCAAATCTCTGAGATTTTGAGTTTCGCATCAAACCAGGTGGACTACCGACGAGCTTTATGTCCTGGGCGACATGCGGTGGGAGAAGGCACGGTCTGGCAGTGCAAAGTCCACGGCGGTTGTGGTACTGCCGAACCCATCCAGCCCGTTGTCTTTAGTACTTCAGCCTCCTAAAGTCTTTGTTGTGCAGACCATCTTCAAGAAAGAGAATCCGGACGGAACCTGGGACTGCACATCTAAGGGCCAGAGACAGCACGCCAGCTTACCTTTTCAGTGTTAGGCCCTGCAGTACTTTGCATGGCTTACATGATCGTAAAGACGTCCGTCGCATTTAAAGAACCAGTGTTTTTTCGTTCTGCACACTTGCAGCTTGGATTCTGTCGCCTTGAGTGGTAGAGACTAGTCGGCTATATGAATTCGCTTGCGATTCGTGCATGCAGGCTATCTACCCGTCGGTCAACCCTTGGTAGACTTTGAAAAGCATTGCGGGCTGAGATGCGTCGGAGAGAACTGAGATGAACGAGCACCATAGGACAGGTGCAGGCACTGAGAATGAGAGCTGAGGTACCCTTGCACTGCGGCCGTGCAAGAATTACATCCGCAATCTGGACAATGTTGATCGAGAGCTGGTGAGGCAGTTTAGTCGACGGTTTCTTACTTTGTCTTTGCTCTCGCCGCGCATCCAGCTCACAGGCACCATGTTGATTTGTCACGAGGATCATGTCCGTGTACGCTTAGAGCAGCACATTGTGACATGCAGGCGCTACCCGTATGGTGGACGCCCGCCTGAGCTCTCGGGCATTACGCGGCTCGGCCGCCACGCGTGACGACGATCCTATACCGTACCCCATTTCAAAATTTGTACACTAGTGCTGAGGCTGGGTCAGCTCCGAAGGTTGTACGCAGCGCACAAGGATTGGATGGAAGAGCCCAAGTGGAACGAGTTTGCGAGGTGGGGGTGCGTTAGCCCAAAGATTGCCAACCTCAAAGATTCCCGCACAGAGAATGCAGACTAATGCAGGCAAATGCAAAGGCCGACCATGTACGACATCGTCCCTGCGATCATCAAGCCGGCCACGAAGCACACGCAAGGCGGGGACAGCCCCTCCCCGCAGCTTTCTGGGGTACCCTCATTGTTTTGGTGATGAGCCCTTGCAAGCACCTCCAAGGTTCTTATGTGGAACTCTTCACTCAGAAGGCTGTTGACGTCTTCGTTTCTCACTGGTGGGGAGGCTGCTGCACTCCCGCATGCTTGTGCCCGTACAGCATGGCATGGTTGTTTCAGATACATCTGCAGGTGAATTCGTGGAGTTTGTCGCATCTCTGGCTTCCTCTGCTCCTTGGTCTGATCAGGGATCAGTGTAGGTGTGTGGCCTTTGACCTAGACCTAGTATCTCCGAATCGGAGCCAGACAAGTCTTCTTCGTCGAGATGGAGTTCGGTTCAAACTTTCAAGCAGCTGAGACAATCAGTTGAAGCAGCTCTCAGAATTGGATACCCTGTGCTTTCTGCACCTTTGCGCTTGCAAGGCAGCTCAGCTTCTTCGTGACGATGTTGGTGGACTGCCGCTTGACGGCACCTGGCGTGGGCGTGCCTGAAGGATCATGTTGCATTGCTACAATCTGCTGTAAGACATGGTCAAGAGAAGGGCGTGCAAGAGAACAAGAAGTGTACCCCCACACGGTTTTCCTTCTAAGGTATAGCCAGCGGTGCCGTTCTTTCGGCGGCCAAAGCGGCGCGAGCTCGCAGCAGCAGCAGGACGCTGCCGAGTCCATGGTGTGGCTTGCTCTGCAAGCGTCCGAGGTTCGAGGCTTCTTAGGTCTTGGGCTCTTTTTGGATCGTAGTTGTGGCTGCCGCCTTTGTTCGGACTCTTAGGTTTTGGATTTGCTCCTTCGCCAATGCGCAGTGGAAACTCAGCGGCACATGGTGCATGAGATCTGCAATGTTGAATATGGGATACCGAGCCACCCGACAGCCTCGCCGGATACATTCTGCACATTTAGTCATGCGATCTTGCACTTTATCAAGACCAAGCATCGTCCTCCTCGTCCGATCCTCGCACAAGCTGGGCAAGACACCCCGATGCATGAGCCTTTTTGGGGACCGCACTGGTCATATTCTCCATGCCTCCGCCTGTGCTTTTCAAGAAATTGCACTCGCGAGGTCGGGCCACTAACCTTCTTTTGCCGAACTCTGCTCTCTGCAACTACTTGGACAGTCCTTTCAGGCAGTATCCGCAACTCCTGAACTCTCGGTTCTGTCTCTCCTCAGGACCGTCAACCTGGGTAACTCTCTGGAAGAGTCACCCTTCGAGGCAGGCTGATTGCTGTGCAAGCGCCTGTCGAATATGGTCTGACAAGTCGTCGCCCCCCAGATCTGCCTTGTGAGCAGGTTGCCCTCGCATCGAAAACCTGCAAAGCAGTGGTCCGCATCTGAAGCTGGTGTTCTCGTGTCGCTGCACATGAAGACTCCTGCCATGGAAGGCTTGGCATAGAGACGTTTTTCATTGAGGTGATGGTCATGGACGAGTTGGCGATGCCGCTTACCAGGATCTGGTGCATCTACGAGGTCCTAAGGACTGGTGTGCCATGGCCTGAAGGGACCCCCAGGTGCCGAGCGAGCCCAAACCTTCCAGCGACAAACTCTTGGAGCGGGCCCGGCAGAGTCCAGGGGTTCGTGCCAGCCCGAATCGCAGAACCTACAGGTAGCCAAAGGGGTGCGAACAGTCTACGAAAGCAGCACTTGCTCAGTCTTGGATCCTAGCAGTGTAGTCGTTGCAGTCGAGATTTTGAGAAGTCTTCGTGAGTAGCTCCGAAGGTGCTCCGGCATCCGTTCTATGTCGCCACGCAGCACGGTGTTCTGGTGGGAGAGCACCTCACCTCAGCATTCGCATGGGGAGCGATCGTCATGCTATGGATGAGGCTAAATCTTTCTCTTCATCTTCATCTTCGTCGTCATCATCCTCATCATCCTCGTCATAGCTGAGATGACAGTCACCAGAGAAACGGAGCTACAGGCAATGAAGGCCTCCCAGACCTGAAGCTCACAGCTTAAGACCTGGCAAGAGCCATGTCTGTGCCTCCGCAGCCGACCAAAGTCATCTCTTGAGCCTAAGATCATACCCCAAATAGTAGGATCCTTATATAAGGACCCCAAAATAAGGTACCCCTAAACCCTGAACCCTAAGCTAAGCCCTTAATCATAATCTCCTAAACCCCTAGTTCTGCATGCTCACACTCTGCTGTACCAAAAGAGCAGGCACCGTCCTATGCATACACTCTCTCTTTTGCGCTGCAACGGGCAACAGAGCGGTTAGCCGAAGGTGTTGTTCGTTTAAAGTCGAACCAGCCTTTGCCGGGGCGGTTCGCTCCCTTCGGGCATTGGAAAAGCCTCTGCCGCCTTATCTAATTTATGCAGCGAGTGTATGCAGGAGTTCGGTTCCTTAGAAGACAGGGAACACGGGGGGGGGGGCAGCACGAAAACCCGACTGTTTCCGGACCCATCCGACATTGTCCGCTGTCCGAGGCTTTGCCTCAACTCACAAACGACTTGCAAGAGAAATAGGGCGGAACGCCAGGCCGCCACTGTACATCGGAGCTTTCAGCTCCCATTCCGGCGGAACGCCTGCTTACAGGGCTTACTCCCGAAGGCTCCATAGAGCTTCAAAGGTGGAAACCATCCACAGCGGAACGCCGTGCTGAATTGTCAGCAGGCAAATCGTTCTCGGCTGGGGCGGTATCACCTGCAGCCTCACCTCCCTCAGACGTCGTAGAAGGGGCTGAGGGGTGAGCTTCCGGCTGATCGTGCCCATGATCCGGATCCACTGGCCGCCCTGCTGCTTGATCTTGTGCCGGATCGGAACGATGCGAGGGAGGTTCTGGCCGCCCGTCCGCGGTTGTACCCGATGGTGCAGAGGAGGTTCCCGTCGAGGTGCTCGCTGTAGGGCCCGAGGGAGGCGGTACGCCTGAAGGTGGCGGAGCACCTGCGGATTTGGAGGCCGTCGTAGGTTCGGCTCTTTCCGCCTCCGCATCGACTCTTGCCTCCAAGTAGTCCAGGAATTGCTTCATGGTGTAGCAATTCCTCACCTCTTCTTGGGTCCATGTGACCCCCTGCCTTTCCAACCTTTCCAGCCTGTTGAGGAGATACAGGCGGTGAGATCGGCCCAGGCTCATCATGGGCGGTAACGCCCTCACAGTTTGCGCGGGGGTCACTCGGGGCTGTAGCGCCACATTGCCTTGGGCCACTTGATGTTGCACCGCATGTAGTCGAGAGCGATGACGTTGGAAGGCGACCGCCATGGAGACCCCTGCGTCCAAGTCTTCCATGTACTTGGGGTCGTTCCGAGCGGTTTCATTGGAGGCTCTCACCTTGACATTGCTGGAACCCCCTTTGCCTTTCTGGCCTCGCAGCTGGGCGGTGCGCCTGATGGTGTCTGCCAACAGACCTCCCATCACCGCACTTGAGCTGTTTGCGAGATTCTCCAAGAGTGCCCTCTGTTGGCCGGCGTTAAGGCCTCTCATCCTTTGCTCCAGCTCTGCGCATTCCCGTTCAAGACGAGCGACCTCCTCAAGCTCCTCTTCGTTGAGGGCCACGTCGTCCTCTTCTTCCTCCTCGTCGGACACCACACACTCATCCTTGGATCGGCTGCACATGGTGCAGAAGGTGCGAGTGATAGGCACACCATAAGAGCACCTTTTGCAGTACCAGTGAGTGGCCCACTTGAAGGTGTTTCCTGTGCCTTTGCCGCTCGAAGTCGAGCTTGGGGCGGAATCACCCTTCCCTTCGCCTTTAGGCGGTGCGCCCTCATCTGGCGGAACTGCCGGCTCGTCACCCAGGATCTGCATCGCCCAACGCCCCATCACATTCTGGGCTCGGTCCGCTTCCGCATATGACTCTGCAAGAGGAAGCTGGCGAGTTGGAGCCGAATAGATACAGGGAAGGGCGGTGCGACCCGGTCGTGGTGGCCCTTCGTTGCTCCTGTAGTGCTGCCCAAGGCTGGGGTTCCGCAAAAAGTCCAAAAAGTCCTGGAACGTAAAGAGGGGCCGATGGTCTCCCGTGGCTGGGCTGAAGGGCGGTAGGTCACCTTGAGGTTCTGGATGTGCCTCCTGCAAGTCCATGAAGCACGGGTTGCCACTGTTGGCCATCTGGATCCGGGTCATGTGGCCCCTTCTGCGCGCCCAGTGAAGAATGTCTTGAGCAACGCGTCGGATGACGATAACTCCCACACGGCCCCATGACTGCAGCCCACAAAGGGCCCTGCGAGACATAACGACGTGCTGGAAGATGGTCCAAGGCAGGACCAGCCGAGGAGTCGTTTCGTCCAGGTCTCTCACCGTGAACCACAAAGCCTCCCCATTTGGAGCCACAGTTGCCATGGGGCGACTTTCCTCAGTGGGACCTCTGGCCTTCTTCGGTGCAGGTCCATGTGGAGGGTCGCAAACAGGCTGCAGGCTTCCAGAAGTAGGGGGCGGAGCGCCGACATTCGCGAAGTCCCCGGGAGCGTAGCTTTTCGGGGCAGCCCGGTTGTGTGGCAATGGTCCCTCCGGCGGAGCGCCCATGCCCTTGCCCTTTCCAAGACCCTTCTTGGCGAAGTAGACCGACTTGGGCTCCGGTGTCGGAATAGGTGGCGGTGGCTGAGGCGTGGTTGCAGCGGCAGAGGGCGGTGACGCCTGAGGCTCGCCATCCATCTGCTCGTCTCTGGCCAGGCCCGGTGGGGGACCTCCCAAGCACGCACCCGCTTGGAACGCTTCCCAGGCTTTGGCCGATGCCTTCCCGCTGTGAGCCTCTTGGGCCACGGCAAGACCTGGGTTTCCATCCACAGTGTCCCGACGGTTAAGCACCACTGGGGCGGTGGACGCCCTCGGGTGCACCAGCAAATCGTCGGGAGCGGGTCATTGTTGAGGAGCTCCCCATACCTTGGACGCCAGCATCCGCACCCCACACATTGGTTGGCTTTGACCGACACTTCTTCTTGACAGTCAGGGCAAATCCAATGTGTGGCTCTCTCCTGGACGTTGCCCACGGCATGCTGCGAGCGGCCACAACCATTGCACCCATACCGGTGGAGGCCATTTGGTTCTCCACAGCCTCCGCAAATCCACCGCATTGTGTTGTTGAAGGTGGAGGGCGGTGGCGCCTTGGTCGGGATTCTCTCCTTTGGAGGCGCCTTTGGCGGAGGGGCTTCCGACCCGGGAGCTTGGGATGGCTTTGGGGCTGGAGCAGCCTTCTGAGGTGGGGGCGCCGAGGATGGGCTGCTAGGGCGCGCTTTTGGCGGTGCCTTGTACGCTGGCCGAGGAATGCAGCACCTCGAGCAGTAGTTCTCCGACACGGGAAAAATACAGCCACATCTGCTGCAATTCCAGAAGCTGCGATCTCCTCCAGGAGGGGGTGCTGCACTTGGGCCAGAGTCACTCGAGCTCGGAGGCGGGGGAGGCGGTGCCAGGTTCCTGCCCTGAAGGAGCTTCTCCTGTTCCTCCACATCCACTGGTCTGAGGTCCGCGTGGAGGTTCTCCGTCACCAGTGGGCCCTTTGCCTCCAGAGGATTCTCCAGGGCGGTGGTCGCCATACGGGCCTTTTGAGGAGCCCGTTTGCTGCCGACGGTACCCGAAGGGTGGTCCCTTATGTTCGCTAGGTCGGCGTTCATGCCTCCATCGTCGGTGATGCCTCACCCAGCCGCATCTCATGCACCAGGCGTCTCCCCAGTACTGATGGTGACCACATTGGCGGCAGAACCTCAAGACACATCCGCATCGGATGCGCGGGTATCTGTCGATCTCAGGGCCCGACTCGGCCCGCGCTTTCGAACTCCTCGCTGCTGGAGGAGTCGTAGAAGGGGGTGCCCCATCGGCCTCTGTTCTTGCCCTTTGCTGTGCTGCGTGCCGAGGTGCTCGGGCCAGGTCCACGTCCAGGTGGCGGTGGCGCCTTACCAGCGCTTTTGCTCGAAGGAGGTGGTGCCGAGGAACTCGAGCTTGTCGGCGGTGCCTTTGGCGGAGGCGCCTGATTCCACCAACCATGGTGTGGGGCGGTGCCGCCTGAGCCTCCATCCGGTGCTGCACTCGAGGGAGGAGGGGCCGTCCCACCAGTCACGCCAACGCCCAGGATATTGTCATGCAGAATCCGTAGGCTTGGATTGAGGAGGATCTCCTTGGCATTCCCCAGGGCCTGCATGCGCACAGTGGCCATTTCCACCTCATCAGGTGGGCTTTTGTCCGGGTGGAGGCGGACCGCCGTGCGCTTGTAGGCGCGGAGGACCTCACTCATGGCGCTGCCGGGGGCGAGGCCGAGGAAATCCCACGCACTGCCCCATTCCTGTATCCACTCACGAAGCTGGCGGTTCCCCATTCCGGTTGGCGGAGCTGCCTCAGCCATGATACGAGTGGAAGGAGAGGCGGTGCGCCGAGGAGAGCGGAACGCTTGCTGGAGCAAAGAAAGCAACTCCGGAGACATGCGTGAGCCAGGTCTCTGAGGATTTATCGGCAACTGATCACTAGACGAAGCGGCAGCCTGTGCAGTCAAAGGAGTCCTACTAGGGCTGGTTTCAGGCGGAAGGAGCCAATCTGGGGTACCTCCGAACCGACACAAAAAAGGGGGGGGGATCAACAATCCCGCCAGCTTCAAGTTGCCTGCGAAGCCTAACCCTCTGAATAAAAGTAAGCCCAGTGGTCCTTTCCAGGTGCTCAAGGTGCGCTTGGCTAGCTTCCCAGTTGACGTCGAAACCCTCAGCGGAGCCTTCAGCCTGGCTATCGGTATCGCTACCTTCGCTAGATGGGCCTCCGGCTCTTGTCTCCAAAGCTGCACGCCCGCTTGGGTGTGAGTACTGCTGGGGCTGAAGCACAGGGCGGGACGCCAACATGTCTTTAGAGCGGCTAGG